GTCATGGTCAGGTCCTCACAATAGGAATTGACCTAAAATCCAAGGAGGCAATAGAGAAAGAGGGACATATCCTCTATTATAGATACGGGACAACACCGGTATCAGGTCTAAGGAAAGACCAAGTTAAAGAGGTGGAGAAAATGGAAACAGATCCTCCAGTCTCCACCTCACGGGTTCCTCAGCCGGAGGCAAGCTCCTCGACTGTGAAGGGCGGCACGGAGGGTCAAACTCCAACGGTGGAAGGGTGGCGATTTTACTAAATATATACTATTACAGCACAAGACACACCCCCAAATACGTCATTGGAAAATATAATCTATCTCAGCACATTCCTCCAAAATCTAAACGTTTGCAGCACAACAATACGTCGTTGGAAAATTTAATTTTATGTTCATTTCACGTGTGTCAGGCTGTGTGGAGATGGTTGTGAGATGCAAAAAATCACATAGATATTAAAGAAAGAAAAAAAAACTTATGATGGAATTCCGTTATATACTTTATGCACAAAGTGAAGAAGAAGCAGAGGAATTATTTGGTACCTTATGTGAAAAATGCAAATACCCAAATTTTATCAACTATCTTAAAAATTTGTGGGAAAGAAGGAACGAGTGGTGTCACTTTTATAGAAAATCATTGTGTACTAAAGGACACAATACAAACAACTTTGTTGAAGCATCTACCAGAGTACTGAAAGATATTATACTGGAAAGATGTAAATCCTTTAATGCTGTGGTATTAGATTTTATAACCAATATTCTGGAATGTTACCATAAAAGACGTCTGATATCATTTGCTCGCAACAGAAAAACGAAAATTAATTTAAACTACTTTTAACTAAATTTAAAGATAAAATTAGAAATCTAACAGTTAAGAAAATAGATAATGAAACTTTTTTAGTTTCTTCAGCTGAAGACAAAAATATGCATTATACTGTTCTAACAAATTCCGCCTAATGCAATTGCGCTAGTGGAACAGGAGGGGCCTTTTGCAAACATTTATGTGCTGTAGAAAATTCGTTTAGCATCAATATTTTATCGAGTCCCCAGTTAACGGAAAATGACCGACAAATAATTGTTTATCTAGCCACTGGTAAAAAAAAATGTTCATTTTTTAAAAACATGATCAAAAACGACGATTCGGTTGCATTTGGGGAATGCAATACCACTTTAAACGCAAGTAATCAAACCCAATCGGATTCTATAACTGATGTTGAAAATATTGGAAGTAAACCTTGTAAGATAATCTAAAAGTTATAATATTGTTACTTGCTTAATATTTTTTGTTTTAGGTAGCGAAGAACATAAAAATGTAGTGGAAAGTCTGAAAAGGGAGTTTAGCCGTATTGCAGATTTAGCAAAACATGTGAGTTGTAATACAGAGTTAATAAAAGTTTGTTGGAAGCCTAAGAGCAATTAACACAGGTAGTCAGTTGGATTTATTCCTAGCTAGCAAGCAGTGTATCAAACGAAAAACAAAATTAATAAAAGTCCAGCCTACAGCACGTAGTAGAAGAAAGATACAAAATGCTAAAATGGGGTTACAGAGAATTCAAAGTGGGCGCCCTTCCAGAAAAAGAAAACACAACCTGTCCCTTAATATCATGTCTAATCTTCCTAATTCCAAAATTCATTAGAATATATGTGTTGCTTTGTGCTGTTTTATTTTGCAGATATTAGATATAGTTCCAATTAAAAGAGTATCTATTAAAATTCAATTTATTCCATTTCAACCGATTTGTATGACTCAGCCACGTTGTTGTGCTGCAAACGTTTAGATTTTGGAGGAATGTGCTGAGCTAGATTATATTTTCCAATGACGTATTTGGGGGCGTGTCTTGTGCTGTAATAGTATATATTTAGTAAAATCGCGGAAGGGTGTGTACCCTCGGAGGAAGAACTGTTGTCAGAGGAGGATGGGAAATACCCTGTTCCCTCTACAACAGGGGTATGATGGGTTATAGACTGTGTGATGACTCAAGGAAGGGGGCACAATAGATCTTTAAGGTCGCAGTGATTAACGCCCCTCCCTCTTACTCATTCTACATTCTACATAGGCTTGGTGCATTTCAGTTGATTTCAAAAAATTCCGACCGCAGCGCTCTACACGGCAGAAATCAGAAATTTTCGCTATCTATTTCACGCCATGCCGGTTACAGTTCCTGTTGATCGCATTGAAATATTATTGAAATCGTGGCCTTGAGATAATATTTAAGTATTTTAGTTTTTTGCTAGTGCAGTTATTAAAACTATAAAACACTCGAGGTACGAGGTTTGTGTGATGTAACGCTATCTTGGGTAGGTAGTGTAAAAGAACTCGAACTGGTTGTCGCCTAGTGTTCTAACAATTTCAAATGTTAATAAAATTGCCGAAAAAATGTTAACGTGTAAAGGAGAGCATAATTACGTGGTTGTTGGGTGCAATAACGTTCAATATCTCAACTTTCCCGAATATTCAACTCTCCCGAATCAACATTTTATAGCTTCATAGCTTCTCAAACCGATTTGATCAAAAGCAACAATGGATTCAAGCGGTTCGACGAAACAAGTGAGTAAACAAAGTGATTATGTACCTTTGAAAATTTCGTTATAGCCGAAATAGCCCCAATTATGCCCCACTAGCAAAACCGGTGATTAAAACTATGCTCGCTACCCTAGTTGAACTCATCTAAAACGTTTATTTAACTGGAATAATAAATTATAATACAAGTTAGACCTTCTGAAGATATCAAAATATTTACTTTTTTATTTTTAGAATTTTCACAAATTATACTTCATAACACTTTTAGAATATGAAGGTAAAACCTCTGAAGGCGGGTAAGGGGACAAAACGAGTTTACTTTTAGAATAACTAAATAATACATTTTTCGTATACTCGCTATTTAAACATGTGTATATGCTAGTTTTTTACGATATTCTCCGATGGTGGCAGCACCGGCGAAGAATGCACCAAGCTTATAGCCGAAATATAATATCGTTGTATATTCTAAAAATCTAGCTTTATATCCGGAAGCACAGAGAACTTATCTCTTAGACGAATAAATCTCCAAAAATCTCATTAAGTAACGTTAAAAGAATTATAGCTGCAAGTAATCATAACTGATGTAATAAAATAAGATTATTTTGAGTTTGGTTTGGTAAAATAGATAATTAGAGAACGGAGAAAGATAGTTAGATTAAAAATATATCGTATACAATCAGCCTTAGGTATGCCAAAGAATAAAATCTGAAACCGCATTGAAGGCTGAATTCGAGATTATCATATATGATAGTCGTTAAATTTTTACTGATTTAATGTTAAAAGAATGAGTAAAATCCTCCTTTTAAGGCAGGCGGCCACTGCAAGCGAAACTAAACTAAGCCAAGCGAAGATAAGATTTATAAAAATCAGCTCCCATACTTTTAAATGCATCAGCGGCTACTTGAGCGAAACCTAACGAAAATATATGAACGAAGATTCAAATCGTAGTTTAGTTTCGCGCGTTTTAGTTCGTACAGGTTCCAGCAAATTTTTGGCAGCGATTAGTTCTATGATAGCACAGACACAATACGAAAACGCTAACTTAGCTGACAACTAAGAAAAAATGGTTCCCAGTGGCCGATGAAACTTATTTTCGTTTAGTTACCGTTTCTTTCTACATTCTTAACTTAGTTTAGTTTCGCTCGCAGTGGCCGCCTGCCTTTAGGATGTCTTAAAGTAATGAATTACTTTATCACCTACAGGCCGTTTTAAAAAACATGTGCCATCTCTTGTGGGGCGATTCCTCACGTAAAAATAAGATTTATTTTTCATATCAACATAGGTCCGATTCTGCTTTGTTTCGTAGTTACAGGATGTTAAAGTCTTAATAATTTTTCAATTTATGATAATTTTCTTCCTAAAGTACTTTTAGTGATTCGAATGAAATTTTGAGGCTAAAAGTTACTATAAGTGCTACATATTTTAATGCTAAAAAAGTGTCGATAAATTCAACAGGGACGTGCATATGGGTTAACACTGGAATATTTAAAAAAACATGTGCGCCACTGACTTTTTTCTTTTGATGTCAAAATTATGTAGGCCGTTTAATGCCAGTTAAAAGTTATCTCTTCATATTTTGTCAAATTTGGTGAGATAAACACAATTTTATAAATTTGATTTTGATGAGATGAACACAATTTTATTAATCATAATTAATAAAATTAATAAATTAAATATTTTACCTAATTCATTATTAAATATTATTACTATTAGTTATTATTATTGTTAGTCAAACCTACAACAATTTCAAATAAAAAAATAACGGTATTTAAGATAATTAAAAAAACCCTAATTTTAAAAAGTTTTGAGTACTTATTTAAAACTTTCGCAAGTTAATGATATTATTTTTTTTAAAGGTTGCAATTAGACTTGGATCAAGGAAAATTAATAAAATTGCGTTTATGTCATCAAGGAGGCCCAATTCGAGAAAATATGAAGAGACAAATTTTAATCGGCATTAAACTGCTTAGACTGTTTCGCTAAATAGAAAAAAAGTCAGTGGCGTGCATGCTTTTTTTTAGAAAAGTGATAACCCACGTCCTGGTGAATATGTCGAGAATTTTTTAGCTTTATAATATGTCGCATTAATAGTAACTTACTACCCTCAAAATTTTATTCGAAACGCTAAAAGTACTTGGAAAAAATATAATAAATCGAAAAAATATTAAGATTTTAACACCCTGTAGCTACGAAACAAAGTAGAATCGAACCTATGTTGATATGAAAAATAAATCTTATTTTTATGTGAGGAATCTCCCTACGAGAGATAATACATGTTTTTTGAAACACCCTGTATATAAATATGTTGAAGGTTCCGCTTTATATTAGGAAGTACAATAAGAGACAGACTATTGGTGCGAATCAATATAACACCAGATATGGTCAATATTGACTTATGTAAATTTTATTGACAGTGTATCACCGTTAAGTAAATAAATAAATATCATTTGCCGTAATAAAAACCGTAATAAGTCAGTACTTACCGGGAACTTCGCAGCTGCAACCACCGTAACCGTCATTACAGTAACATTGATTGTCTAGGCATGCACCATTCTGACACTCGGTGCCGTCGTCCTTTCGACAGTCATCTGCAACAGAAATTAGAGATCATTAAGGTAACTGTATGGCGACAAGCGAGATAGAAAAAAAATAATAATACAACATAATAACTATACCGGAGTTCGTGATCTGACGTACGCGGAACAGTTTGTGCTCTGGTACATTCAATATTTTTGCTATCTTGCAATTTTGTTATTAAAATATAGAAATAGTTAACACTTCTAAGAGTCCATTTCACTAGTCCGAAAAAGTAGCAAAATAAGCGTTCGGCATTTAATAATTTATGTAAAACTGGCTAGGTATTTCTACACAAATCAAGAAGGAAATTTAAGATAAAGGATTATAGTAAATCCGTATTGTAGCACATTTTTAGACAACTTCTTTATTTTTAAGATTTTCGATGGTCAAACATCAACAAAATATTCCTTATGTTTGGACTAAATTTACTCGAAAATACAGACATAATTTAAAATTCCGTTACAATTAAATAGAAATAGATTGAATGATAGAATTCAGTGAAGTAGATTGAAGTTTTGTGATTACAGTGATATATAATTTATATGGTTTTGTAACAAATTGCTCGCTATTTTATGGCAAATGCTGAAGCTCTGCAAACCTTAATCAAGCCTTAATCAAAGCACGTGTGTTTAGAATTTTGGGTTTGGTTTAACACGACAGGATCGGGCTAAGCCTTAAGCTCCGCGCGCACTGAATAGGTATCGGCGAGATCGAGCGACACGTAATTTTCAGTTTACGTTGAAATAAATGTAAACCCGCGCACCGCATTAGATCGGTGCGCTCGGTGCGCTTGGTGCGCTTCGAGCTATCGGCGGGTCTCGCGCCATCAGGCGAAATCAGAGAATGCATGGGAGGGGGCGAATAGTCTACGCCGAGCGACTGTTTTTAGTGGAGCGGTTTTACATTAAACATGTCCGATGAAATATTAATCGAAAGTGTACGAGACCATATTATCATACTTAATATGCGGTTTTTTATAAAAATTTCTTACAAGCACGTAACCTATATTGTTTACTATACTTATTCAATAACTGACTTAGAAAACCTTCCGATTAAACCCATTTATTTCTCATCTCGTTTTGATTATCTCACATTATTTTGAAAATCGAATTTAAATATCGTCAAAAAACTTATCATGTTATTTAAATTTTGGTTTGTTTTGACTTAGTAATAACAGCTGATAAATAGTCATCCTATGTTGATCGCTCCGTAAAAGGTACAAATAGAGAAAATAATATTTATGTTTGAATAAAATATTTGTACATATATCTACCGTATGATAGAAAAAAACGGCGTCCAGTTGGATGAGAAATGACGATTGATGACATTTCCTATATAAATTTACATATAAAATGGCACCGACCTTCATTTCATGGTCATCGCTGATGCCGTTCCTTTTCGATAATACGGTACTATAAAAACTATTTATATTTTTTATTTTTTCAATTTTCTTTGACTTTTTTATTATATTTTAAGTTATTAAAATCTTGGTTTTAAGTCAGTAGTGAATAAAACGAAACTTGTGTTTACATTTTGTTTAATGATTGACGTTTCGACTAATTTTAATTCGGTCTTCTTTAGAATCTATAATATACAATACAATTTTATCACTAGAATGTGTTTAATATATATTTTTTTCTTACCACAAACGTAGAAAATTATTTATACGTATATTATAGATTCTGAAGAAGACCGAATTAAAATTGTTCGAAACGTCAATCGTTAAACAAAATGTAAACACAAGTTTCGTTTTATTTACTACTGACTTAAAACAAAGATTTTAAAAACCTAAAATAAAAGCTATATATAAATGTTTGTAATGACACTTATTTAGATTAAAAAACTAAAAATAGAAGTTTTATTTGACTATTTTTCATATCTAGCTTTGTTTTTCAAGAACAAATTAAACCCTTTTGAATTATACCAAATTTGTTAAAATCGGTCAAGCTAAGAGTCATGTAGTATATTTTATCCCCATCTTCCACTCTATTTCACTAATTTTATGTGGTTTCTTAAGATCTAAATATATTAATGTGTGTTTGGTTAAGATCTACATAATATCAATTTCCATCATAAAGCATAAAATATAAAAAGTTGCATAAAAATATAAATAGTAATAATACTTTATAATTTTTTGAAATGCCGAATGAATTTGACTAAATTTGAATAAACTTCTCCTCGTCTATGCTCAAATTTCTGCTGGTGACGTACTCTCGACCGTCGATCGTGCGACTCCAGTGCGCGGCTACAATCGACTTTCCGACCGGTCGTGCCGCTCGCGCCGCTCGCTCTCGCCGATACCTATTCAGTGCGTGCGGAGCTTTAAGGAGGGCGCGCACTGATGGGCATCGGCGCGAGCGAGCGGCAAGTAATTTTCAGTTTACGTTGAAATAAATGTAAGCCCGCGCACCGCATTAGATCGGTGCGCTTCGAGCTATCGGCGCCATCAGGCGAAATCAGAGAATGCATGGGAGGGGGACGAATAGTCTACGCCGAGCGACTGTTTTTAGTGGAGTGGTTTTACATTAAACATTTCCGATGAATTATTGATCGAAAGTGTACGAGACCATATCATACTTAATATGCGTTTTTTTATAAAAAATTCTTACAAGCACGTAACCCATATTGTTTAATACACTTATTCAATAACTGAATTAGAAAACCTTCCGATTAAACCCATTTATTTCTCATGTCGTTTTGATTATCTCACATTATTATGGAAATCTAATTTAAATATCGTTAAAAAACTTATCATATTATTTAATTTTTGGTTTGTTTTGACGTTAGGAATAACAGCAGTTACATCCTGTACATTAGGTTTAGTACACATAAAAATGTACTTGCTTTGTAATCAATGTAATCTTATAAATACGACTCAAACTGTACAATTCGTTTGAGTCCAATTTAGATCACAATCACACAAAGAGCAATGAACAGATTAATATTGGGACTGTCTCTGAGAGACAAAGTACCGTATATAGAAGTACGGGGGGACGGAACAAAAGTCATGGATGCCATAGAAAAAATAACAAATTTAAAATGGAATTGGGCAGGGCACATTGCAAGGCTAAACGATGACCGATGGACGAAGAAAATAATAGAATGGAGACCAAGACATCATCAAGGCATTCAGGAGCAGAGGCCGTCCTATAACCAGATGGTATGATGACCTAAAACGTATCTGTGGAATGTGTGATGTATCTGTATCAATTTACATCCAGTTACTGTGGTAACTGGATGCAAATTGATCAAAATGGAAGCAAATGAGGTAGGCCTATGTTCAACAGTAAACTTTAGTGGTTGGTTGATGATGATCATGATTTTTCTTATTTGAAGTGTGTTATGTTTTTATAACAAGTACATAGAAACTAACAAAAATTTGACAAAGTTATAGCAATAAAAAATAGGAATGGCTACTGTCGCCTCTGCGACCGTAGATTTTAAACTGTTCTTTGTAAGTCTATGGTGGTGTTTGTCTAACCTGACCCTTCATGCTAGTATGAATAATACAGCTTGGGCAGAGTATAAGACAAACACCGTAGTATAAGAGTAAAATAAGTATTTTATATAATTTGTAAAATGTATGGTTGCAACAGTGAGATCAGTAAAATAATCTTCTAAATTAAAAACATTATTTAGTTTTCAATTTTAATCATCTGCTGATGATACATCTGTGTGCTGATGCTAACATGCTTAGCCAAACGTGCTTCTAGTGCGAAAGTCAAGTGTTCTGGTGTACTGTCACAAATGGGTAATTTGTTGTACTGTGGTGAATTGTTTTATTTTGCTGTTGTAATACAAAAGATTCCAACCCCAACTGTAAAAGTAAGATCAGTATCAATTAAGTGTTAAACATACGTTCTACTATATTTTATAAGTTAAGATAAGTGCTTTTAACTAACATTATTGGTAAATTCGGAATGAATCCTGATTCTAGTATATTGGGGCGGAACTTAAAGTCATCACAGAATTGCTAAATTATATCTCTTCCTTAGACTCTTGTCATTGGTTAATCTGCTTCTTAGACTCACATAATGCACTTAAATGCATATCAAACTTTCGAGTAAACTTTCTCCTATCGATAAAATTTCTGGATCTACTTGATCACACTTTGTTATCAGAGCTTGTCGATATTTATTACTTTGGGTGTACCTCTATTTTTTACCATCACCTGCTGATTTATATAGCAAAATCTTCTATATTTTTAAAACTGTCACAAAGTCTGATTGGGATAGATTATGGGGGTACTAATAAACTCTAGGCTATTAAAAGGGTTTTTTTCACCAACATCCCTATATGTTTAACTAATAGAAAATTCTCAATAATCTGGAATAGACTTCGCTTAGGCCTTCACAATTTTTCTTATTCACATATCTCTTTAAAAAGTATCCTATCCCTTAATCTCCTTACTGTGCAGAATTGTAATATCCACAGAATATTGGGACACTCCGTATGTAAATAATAATAGAGTTATTTCTAAAAAGGTTGAGAATTCTCGAATTATAAATTTATCTGAAACCGCACGCATCAAACTCCATGCAGATTTGTTATGGCAATCTACGATAAAAATAAGGTATCATTAAGTTAACTGTCGTTGACATCTGTGGAAAAAAACAGATAATGAGTACGTCTAGGTGCATATTTGAATGCATGCGGAACAATTTGCCCGCTTGTTAGCAGGATACTTTCCGCGGAGGTTGTTATTTTCTCTATGATTTTACGCAATTAAGTTAATTCCGTGAACAAACACAGGGCTAAAAAGAATCAAATATATAAATTACCGTCTATATCCGAACCCTATTATTTCTGTATCATGTATGGTTTGCGTCTTTTTAAAAAGATTTATTCTCCTAACGGTTTAGAGGCTCAATTGCGATGGATCTAAACAATTGTAATTTTCTGCAGGGAAAATGAGCAACGCATACGTAGATTTTTGTACATTTGGTAGAGACTTAAGGTAAGTTTATACGCGTCCGTCATGATTCGCCTGTCGTTTCGAAATTAGTGTTAA